AAATGACTGTGGAATGATATGCTCCTGGTATCATTTTATTAACATCAAATTTGACAAAAAATCACAAAATGAGAACAAAATATACATTCTACCACAATATGCAGTTTCAAGTCAAAAATTAGTACTTAGTGGCATAGCCAAGTGACCTAATAATAGGTGCCAGTCTACGAAGCAAGGATTCATATAATTGTCTGATGCGTTCAGGGCTTATGCTGGCCCAAGCATGAAACACTGAATATAACAGAGTTTCTCTGCTGGTTAGAAGGGCATTTGTCCAAAGTTTTGACATATCATTCCATACATTTTCTATTATGTTTGCATCCGGACCCTTGGCAGGCCACATCACCCTGCGAATGTTCTGTTGGTCAAACCAATCATCAACTGCTCTGGTCCTGTGACAAGGAACACTGTCATCCTGGTGAACAAATGGATAATTCCTGTCACCAAACATGTTAGTAATAGATGGTAGCAAGCCTGACTCCAAAACATCGATATACATGTATTTTGGCAACGTACATATTTGGGCAGGACGCATGAAATGAGAAAGGCATAGAATAGAATGCTATGGCTGGGGCCTGTGTGACAGAAATGGTGGTCCTGGGGAAGTCCGGGGTCCCACATAATAAGAGCAGATTAGGGTTAGTCGAAAGTACAGGAGTCAGAATAAGGAACAAATGTCACTTGCATGAAAAAAAGGGCCAACGGACTGCAGAATCTAACGGATTTACCATTCCTGTCAGTTTTTATTTATTTATTTATCTATTTTTTATTTTATTTTATTTATTCATTTATTTATTTATTTTTTTGCACCAACAAGAATTTTACTGTTTGATGTCTGTATATATGCTTGTTTTGTTGGCTAGTTATAGAAGTTAAGTTTTCACAGTTTATTTAATCTGTCACGAAACTGTACATTTAGTTAGATTTACACACGCACATAATGCACTGTTAATACCCTCTTTAATGATATGACCGAGTTTTTTTCTAATATTGATGTATTTATAGCACATACTATAACAACGAAATATATCCCAGATAGCAATAATAAGTTTGATACATTTGATTTAGTCTTGGATCCATGATACAGAGCATTATAGTGAGTAACGTGCAATGATTACTGATCACTGGAAAGTGAACGTAAGATGCCGCGCCACTTTAATTTTGTATCGGGGGTTCAGATAGTTGCATTTTTAATATCGTTATGAGCACTTTGTGAATAACTTTTTCATGTTTTTATATGTATTTTTAAATTGAAGTGATTTTTTTTTATTTTATAAGCGTATTTGTTATGCAATTGATATTTAATGAGGAAAATGGTTCAATTAGCTCCGATGTAAATATTTCATAAAACCAAAAATTGCTTAAGTGACTTAGCAGTAAGTTTGGATAAAACCCTACTACTTTTATGGTCTACAGAGAAGGGTCAATTTTAGCGATTACTGTCAGCTTTCACAATGAACATCAAGATTAAAAAAAGGTCATATCGCACTTTTTATATTGTAATCAAATGACTGTAAATAAAATGACTGTGTGCATATCTGCGTATTTATCTATTTATTTTTTAATCCAGCGTACTCCTGATTGTCCAACATAACGGTCACGGCTAATTATTCTAGCTAAATGTATTGAAAATATTTAAATAATGTGTTAAATTCTTTTAGAGAAACTGAAAGGAAACTTTCTCTTCTCACTGAGAATGCCATTTTGAAAATTAATCTCGTTGTTCTATCATGCAGTTGAAAGTTCAGACACTGAAATATATCCTATGCAACGCCAGTTGGGCAACATCATTCTTACATGGTTAAAAACTGGGTCATTGCTGGATGATTCACATTCCTTTATAATTTTTATGGTATGAAAAGGTACATTATTTGTTTTACTTTTCTTCTATGTATTTGGATATTGCACAAAATCATTGTGAAATTAAAATATAAGAACAACTTTAGAAATTGCTGATGATGAACATTACACGAAATGCAATTAAATAACCATTTTATCTTATTGACATATTTTACTAAAATTTACCTAACCATTTTTTTGATTAACGACGTCATGAGCTGAAGAATGAGAACAAAGAGACGTGAGAGACAAGAAGTGGCAAAAATAGTAATGCATTATATTCATGGCTGAAGATTTTTTACAGCTTACAACAATATAAAATAAAAGGAAGCGTTTTACTTCCCAACCTTTAATTATTATTGGTTTTCTTACCCTATCAAACCAAACCTAGAATATGACCACTCCTGTTGCCGCCATACTTAATTATAACATGATCATGATCTCCAAAACCAGCAAAAATATTTTTTCACTTTGTGCAAATTATAAACTGGATCTGGTGCTACACACACTGGACAATAGAAGTGTCACCCCCTGAATCAACGTAATCAAATTTATTCAACTGAAGAGGCGGAATATAAGCAATGTCAGAATATCGAAACAGTTGAATTGTTCAGTCAGATAGATAAAATGATACCAGGAGCATATCATTCAACAGTCATTTATCTCCCCCAAAGTATTGGTTCAGTAGGGGTGACACTTCTAGTGTCCAGTGTGCGTACATAAATGGAGGACCTCAAAAGGTTATGTATGGTGACTAAAAGCAAACTTTGGAGTTGGAGGCACGGAATGTTATGGACGCGTGCCTATAGACAGTAATACTATCGAGAGCAGGAAGAGAAATAATGGAAATTTTGTTTGTCTCAGGAAAAGATTATTTGTCATAAGAGGTCCGGTCTTAATCACCCTCTACTTAATGCCAAACTAAGTACTATAGTGTCTTCCTCTTATTTTCAAAACGTTAATATTGGACAGGAATTAGGAATTTACTCCAATCAACAGCTAATGTTTACAGC